ATATGTGTGTATTAATATATATATATGCACACATGTTTGGATATATATATATATATACATACACACATAGAGAGAGGGGGGAAAGAGAGAAACGGTATTGTAAATATATTTTCTATTAATTAATACATGTATCTTGTTTAATTAGAGAAATTTAATAGTTAGAAATCATTTTATCCAATTTCCTAATTTTTTTTTTATTTTCCAAAACTTAAGTGACAGGACCGCCCCTTACCCAAAATTTGGACATTATAAGGTGGCTAGTTTAAAACATTCTCAAAATTCACTTCCTTCCCCTCGCAAGTTTATCTCATATGCGTTGACCTACATTACAATAACACATAAATAGAGGAAGAGAGAAAGCGCGTGCGAGAAAGAGAGACGACTCACATAACGTCGGGTGCCTTGCTTCATCTAGGGTACAACTGTGGGCCACTATTCTGCGTTCCTCTTCACAACTACATTCCTACCCGTGGCATTATTTCTATTATTTTTAAGTGTTTTCTATCCTCAGTTTTTACATAATTTCATCAAACCCATTTTGCTCCTTCAGTATTACCTTACTCTGAGTTTAAATGGTTTTATGTACGAGGTTATATTGGGTGGATTCATATATAGAATCTATGCTTTATTTTCTTAGTTTCTCGAGTTTGCTTCTTGTCGCATCTGTATGACTATTTACCACACAAATAGTATAACTCACTTATGATTTTGTGAATAGAAATTTAGATAACATTGAAATTCAATAATATTGTTACCTATTTTTCTCCTAAAATAAGCCCTTCGTAGAATATGACTACCAATCAAGAATGGATGTACCGGTGCTTGGATGGAAATGTGTTTCTAAGGGACAAGTTTGTTGGGGGCTAGTATAATTTTTGGATTTCACATATTCCTATGTAGAGATTGAGGATAATGGTTGTACAAAATGCCTGTGTTTAAAGTGTCACAATTAGAAATTCAATGACTGTAAAACTGTACACTATCACCATACAAGGCTATACTTGTAACTGAACAAATCATTGCCTCAAAGACTTGGTCATTGGTTTGGTTGAATAAGGGGACATATCTGCTTGTAACTAAATCGAGATATGCTTGGAACTGAACTAAGATCTGATTGTAGTTGAACCATAGATGCTTATGTGTCCGGAATTACACTTTGTTTTATCATTGAAGTTATATGCATGTAACTGAACTTAGATGTGCTTGTAACTAAAAGGACCTCCCCTTGTGACCATATAAAGACATGCTTGTAATTGAATAAATCATTGCCTTTAAGACTTGGTCTTAGATTTGATTGAGTAGAGGGACATATCTGCTTTTAATTGAATGGAGATATGCTTAGAACTGAATTGAGATCTGCTTGTAACTAAACAAAACCTTTCTTGTAACTGAACCAATGGATGTTTGTTTGATTAGGATTACACTTCATTTTATTGTTAAAGATATATGCATGTAACTGAACTTAGATATGCTTGTAACTAAAAGGGCCTCTTCTTGTAACTATACAAAGTTATGCTTGTAACTGAACAAATCATTGCCTCTGAGACTTGGTCTTAAGTTTGGTTGAATAGAGGGGACATATCAGCTTGTAACTAAATAGAGATATGCTTGAAATTTAACTAAGATCTGATTGTAACTAAACAGAACCCTACTTGTAATTGAACCAATTAATGTTTGTGTAATTGGGATTACACTTCATTTCAGCATTGAAAATATATGCATATAATTGAACTTGTATGTGCTTGTAACTAAAAAGGCCTCTCCTTGCAACCATACAAGACTGTGCTTGTAATTGAAAAAATCATTGCCTCTAAGACTTGGCCTTAGGTTTCATTGAGTAGGGAGATATATCTGCTTGTAACTGAACAGAGATATGCTTTGAATTGAACTGAGATGTGCTTGTAACTAAACAAAATCTTGTTTGTAACTGAACCAATGGATGGTGGTGTGACTGGGATTACACTTCGTTTTATCATTGAAGATATATGCATGTAACTAAACTTAGATGTGCTGTTAACTAAAGGGGCATCTCCTTGTAGCCATATAAAATCTATACTTGTAATTGAACAAATCATTGCCTCTTAGACTTGGTCTTAGGTTTGGTTGAATAGAGGGGAAATATTTGCTTGTAACTGAATGGAGATATGTTTAGAATTGAATTGAGATCTGCTTGTAACTTAAAAGAACCTTGCTTGTGGCTTAAACTTGTTCAGTTATAAGCACAATTCTAACTGGTTACAAGAAAATTTTAGTAGAGTTACAAGCATAGTTCTGTTTGTATTTCTTACCAATTTCTTCTAGTTTAGTCTTATTATCATGTAAGGGTAGTGTGATTAGCTATCATTGATGTTCATTTACTTTAATTTTATACTAGTCATTGATTTATTTTGAGGAGTATGAGTAGTCATATTGCAATCAATATGGCAGCAATCCTACTCCAAAAAGCTCATTTGATGCACAAAAATGGCTTGTAATCAGAGTGGGTCTTGCAAGAATCGAATTTATGATTTTGAGAATACCTATCATTGCAAAGAGCTTGCTTATATTAGCACTTCATCTAACTCCATCTTCATGGAACCTTCTCTCAGATATGTTAGTTCGAATCAATTGTAGGAGACAATTGCTAAAGCACTTGCAGAGAAGTGACAAGCAGCAGTATCAAGAGAGGCACAACTACTTAAGGAGGCCAAAAAATTAACAGTAGAGACACTAAAAGCCAAAAAGGAGGCAATGAAGGCAGAGAGGAGGCTATAATGACTACAATAGCTGCAATGATGGAAAAGTTCAATGTAATGCAAGGTAGATCATCAAGCCAAAATGAGAGCATTGGAGAAGGTAAAAAGCAATGAAATTATAGTTTAACATTGTTGCGTTTTAAAACTTTACATTCTTATTTTATTTTTTATGTTCGAAAATAGTTATCAAATTGTATTATTAAAGATTTTGACATTTGAACTAATTGTGTTATGATATTTAATCACTTTTCATGTATGTCGTTGGTGAATTACAATTGAAATGATAAATATGCATTACAGCAATTACAATACATTTTGGTATTTGAAATGATATATATGTATTACAACAATTATAGCACTAGTGACCCCTAAAATGGTCACAAGGAGGTCACAAAATTAGTGACCCAACTGTGACCTCGCACGCAATTAGGATGATAAGGTTAATAGGGTCACTAATTAGTAACCAACTAGTGACAGAAAAATGATGGTCACTGATTACTTATCGCATACGGGGTCACTAAATGTGTATCTAATTTTGTTAATAAAAAGGGTCACTAAATAATCAGTGACCGAAATTATTTGGTCACTAATTAGTGGCTGACTATATTCAGTCACTGATTAGTGACGGAAGATTCTAATCACTATTTAGTGACCGAAGTGTTGCCGATCACTAACTAGTGACCGACTTACTACATAGTGAAATAATGAATTACTGACCCAATTAGTGACTAATTATAGTGGTCACTAATTAGTGACTGATTTTTTTTTCACTAATTAGTGATCGCCTTGGTCACCAAATCAATTAGTGACAATGCTATTTCTGACCGACTAAATCGGTTGCAAATGTGGTCACTGATTACTTTAGTGACCGCTGTCCTTTGAATTTAGTGACCGATAATGCAGTCAGTAAATTCATTTTTTTGGTAGTGTTTTTTCTAGAGGCTAAGAACTCTAAGAATCCTTTTGTCTCTCTTCTTCTTCTTCTTCTTCTTCTTCAAAAGCATGAACAAAGATCTTGTATGTCTTGCTTGACTTGTGAGAAGATATCCTTAGCTGTGGAGCACACATCCAAGAGCTTAAGATAGCCTACCAATGCCTCTTCAACCCATTTTTTGTTTGGTTCTTGGTAGAAAACACGTTGTGTTTGGGGAAATAGGAACAAATCATCCATGCAATCAAAAAAATTGTCAAGGCCACACAGACTATCACCTGTGGATGAAATAGGGTGGCTTCAGAAGCCATTACCCCTGGATAAGTGCACATTAAATTGAGGAATGAAGGGATGGGATCCAAAGGGTAAGCTGTTAGACCAAGCATGGTAATGTGATTTTGATCTCAATGGAGAGCAAGCCATTTTGGTTTGTTAGAGGAAAAGTGGCTTAATGCGTTGCTTAATTAACAATAAAACGTGCAATTCAATGTGCAATATATATCAAAGGGTGAAGGAGACAAAAGGAATCACATCTTCTACAGCCATCAATGAGTAGAAACATGATTTGTGTTTGGATCCAAATGTTATGCTAGCGATGTTCATGCATTGTCTCCTCTTTACTGTGTCTCATACTGATTGTGAAGAATCAAGGGTTGTTGCTAACTCAAAAATCCTATGTGGCCACTATGTGATTCCGTCTAATAATTAACATAGCACCACCTAAAAAATTGAAAAACTTGACCCCTCTAGCAACAAAATGTGAGCTAGCACTGCATCTCCTCTTCCCTTATTGGCATGATGAGCATTCATGGGTGCATTTATATGTTCATTCTTTTTAATTTGTACGTGCACTTGTGAGGTAATTTATAAATCTTGATTCATTTTTGTTAATTTTTGTAGAAAGCCTCATGTAAAAGTATATAAGTTCTCATGTAAATTACTTACAAGAACAAATTCTAAGACTTCAATTCTCAACCACTTATTTCTCCTCCCAAAAACTTGATCTTTTAGTTTGTATCAAGAATAGCAAAAATAGAAACTCAAAGGGAGATGAACAAAAGTTCAGCTATTAATTATTCTTCTACACTTATTTGGTACAAACATTAGCCCTAAATGTGCATATCTTTGGGCACTCAACACCATAGGTAGTGGTATTTACATAGTATCGACTAAGAGACCATAAACAAAAGGTCTTTGGTTAGTGCAGTCGATGTTGTCACTTGGGCTAATCCCAATTATTTAGTAACACCTCATGCAGAATCCAATTCAGTCTTGGACCCTTAAATCCAACCTGTGCCCACATTCAAGCCCACTATTGATGATGTTCGTGATCACCCCATACCCAAGGACTCGCCGATCACCTGATCAGCCACTGATGATGTCCACTGTCCAGTGATAACATTGTAACATGAAGGCTTGGGGACTGTAAGGTCATCTAGAACCACAGAGCTATCTTAAAAGAGATGACCAGGTCAATGGCCACCAGATTAGGCTTATTGAGCAAGTCCACCCCTACGGCCCTCCCTGTTGGTCCATGTTATAATTGCTGAATGTGAAAAAAAGGAGAGAAGAAGGGTGAACGTTAGTCAAAACATTCAAAGAATTTAGCATGGAATATTTTTGTTTTCTTTTTAAATTGTAAGAAGTCCAAAACTTACTAGGAAATTTGGATTGGGCCTTGGCCAATATTTCTTTGCAGGAGCGCAAGGCCACTGAACGCTTGGGACACAGTAGTCAGGAGGGTTTCCTTGTTCTTTCAAATAGTAGTATCCCCATGCAAAAGGCCCTTCTGGTGCACTAGGCCACCTACCTAACATACATTTTGGACATCACAAAACCCTTGACCTTTCTTTAAGTTAAAATGAAAAAAAAATTATATTTAACCTCCAAATCTGTTACTGAGTATCACTTTGCTTCCTTGTACTTTGATAACTTACTTTTTACCCCCTCAAATGCTAAAGCTAGTTCATAATTGCTTTCAAGTATAAGGGGGTAAAGTGATATTCAACGATAAATTAGGGTTAAGTGTAATTTCCCTAAAAATTAACTAAATATAAACTTTTAACTAGCCTTAGACCAAGACATTTTTAAAAATAGAAGAGTTGGAAAATGCCTCAAATTTTTTTTTAAAATTTATGAAGATAACATGTTATCGAACATATGATCATATAATAATGGAAACAAACCCGTAGTTTCATGGGAAGTTTGGGCCAAGAAAGCCACAATCTCCCTCTTGTGGTTGTCAATGTTGCCGGTGGTGCCGAAGGCTGAGAAGGACTTGGCAGCCTTGATGAAGGTGTAGTAGGTGTAGAAGTTCTTGGTGGGGCAAGCAACATCGTTGCAGTGCAACAACATTTGGTTGAACATTGACCTAGAAATAAGGTTGTTGATATTGCCGTTGGGACAGGGGGACAGTGTGGCGCCATCGTAATGGCTCTGGCAACCATCACTGCCGTAGTCTTTAGTGGAGCTGCACCACCCATACTTGTTGCAATAAAGGCCTCTAAGACACAAAGCACCCTCTACTTGCCATCCACATTGCTCTGCCGAGCTTTTGATCACTAGGAGAAAAAGCAGAAACATTAGTACTTTCATTTTCATTTTGTTTAGGCATGGATCTGAGGAATGTGTTGGGTGTGTGTGTGTGTGTGTGTGTGTGTGTGTGTGTGTGTGTGTAGTGGAGTGGTGGAGATGGGTATAGGTTCTTCTTTCTTCCCTCATTTCTTTTTCCCATATAGTGTGTTCTCTTTTTGACTAGATCAACAATGGCATCGCAACTAGTCAATTATAGCAAGCCACACAAAATTACTTTTAGAAAAAACTAAGTCTATATTTTCGGAAATTTTTGATAGAGTATCCCCTTAAATATGAGTATACCCAAGTTCAATCCACCTGCATATACAACACAATGCATATATCTCAGTAGGAATTCACAAGCACATAGCATAATCACTTTAAGAAAAAGTGACATCAATGATAGAAATTAGTGACAGATATTTTTCATCGCTAATTGGACAGAACTTACCAACAGATTAGTAATGGTATCTTTTTGTCACTAAGATATGATTTATTTTAGATTAGCAAGAGAAACATTCCTTCCCAAAGTTTGATTGAGTTAGCAAAGCAAATAAGGACAAATTAGTGAGAGACTATTTTCCCAGCTAATCAATTATTGTAAATGATAAAATTAGCGAATTTATCCTAGCTAAAAATTCTTAGTGGAATAGCTTAGGATTAGCAATGGAAAAAATCCTTCAAAACTCGTCCTTTGTTCTCACTGATGGTGTTGCAACGAAAGTATTTCGTTGCCAAATTTACTAACGGATTAGCTACTTTTTACGATAAAAAAGTTGTTCTACTAAAACAAACGAAAATTTGCAACAGATTACCAATGAAAGAAGTTTTGTCACTAAATTTAGCAAAGGAAGAGCTAGGCAATAGTGACGGAATAGCGTAGGAAATTGTAGATTATGTATTTTGACATAAAAACTCAACTCTCTGAAATCTTATATTATGTTTAATCTCCTCTTTCAACAAAGTCTTTTTTAATTTCATTATTTTTTAAACTCTTTACACATTGTGAATTTTATTTTTTCCACACCTAATTTCAAATTTGTGAAAAAAATATCACTTATGGGGATGATATTTGGTCGATACTATATGCATGTTGAAATTGTACATATGATCATCTCTTGTATATTATTTTTTTAAGACACGAAAAAAAATGGAAGAAAACAATTTTAAGGATAAGGAAGGCCTTGATGTTGAGGGGCATGTTGCTTTTAACATTTTGTGTACATTTTTGTAAGTAGAGGTGTGCAAACTATAATTTTGCTTTGATATTTGATAATTAGGTTTGTTTTTTTGGTTTTAATATTTTAGAAACTAAATCCAACCAATTTAATTACAAATCAAACCAAACCAAACCTAGAATTTCGATTTGGTTTAGTTTGGTTTAGTTTTATTTTAATTAATTATTATTTAATAAATATTTAAATAAATTATTTAATTAATTTTTTATTATTAAAAATGCATGTATATGCATGTGTTTGTATATAGATGTATGTATATTTGTATATACATAATATATACACATAGCGCGTATATATATTTGAGTGTGTGTGTGTGTGTGTATATAATATATATGTAAACATATATATATTTATATAAAATATAAAAATATGTATGTTTGTGTACATGTGCACTCAAACACACATACACACACACACACACACACACACACACACACACATATATATATGTATATATGCAAAAATAAATATGTAAATATTTATTTTTGTATATTTATATATATATACCCACATACAAATATATTTACAAGTGTGCATGCATGCGCGCATGCGTGTACATATATATGTGTGTGTGTATGTAAATGTAATGTATACATATGTGTAACTATATTTTATATAAATATAAATATATGTGCATGTTTTATAATTTTATATTTATATGAGTAGATAAAATTTATATGTGTAGATATCTGTGTTTGTGTGTGTGTGTTTGTGTGTATGTATTTGTATGTGTGTGTGTACGCACATATATAAGTATATGTTTACATAAATATATGTATGTGTGTGTATTTTTTTTATAGAAGAAAAATATTTTCAAAATTTTAGTTTTGGTTTAGAATGATTTGGTTTCATTTGGTGATTATTTTTTAAATCAAACCAAACTAAACCAAACTAAATTTTAAAAAACAAACTAAACTTAAAAATTAGTTTGGTTTGGTATGATTTATTTGGTTAAATGGTTTAGTTTGTTTGGTTTAGTTTGGTTTTGCACACCCCTATTTGTGAGTATCTTATCCTACATGTTTAATTGATAATTGTTTTGTAGCGTGTTTAATTTTCAAGTTCTACATAGTTGTTCGTTAAGGTCAATATGCTTTGAGAAAAAGCCTACACCAACATTATTGGTACATATTATTGTACACGATGAAAGCGTGGCCAAAAAGAAAATAAAAATTGACATAAAAAAGCAATTAAGTGCTGTTTTGTTACACAATAATATTTTTAGATTTTTTGTTTCCATTTTCATTTGCTATTTATTTTAATATGTCCAAAATATAAAAGTCTCCCTAAAAAATAATAAATTAACTTTTTGAAAATTTAGTTTTACTAATATTTTGCACCCTTTGGTCTTTGTTTTTAAGGTTTCATTTTTTGAACGTGACACAATCTATGTAAAAAATAAAATAATTAAAAAATCAATTTTATGTTACATATAAATTTTTTAAAAGTAACCAAGTTAAAAAAATTAAACGTATCAAATATTACGAAAATTAAAAATTTTTTATCTATGAAAAAACTGAAAACAAAAAAAATGGGATGATTGGGTTTGATTTTATTGCTTCTTAAACCCTTGGCAGTATATTTGTTTTTCCTAATTCATCTTAATCTCTTCTTTCTCCAAACTCATTTTTTAATCTCATTATTTTTCAAAATTCTTTATATAGTATAAATTTATTATTTCCACACAATTTCAAATTTATGAAAAGAAATTGGTACTTATTGGGATGATGTTTGTGTCAAAAATATTTTTACAGGATATTATTCATCTCATTAGATATAAGATTGGGCTTGAAAGTTAGAGATTAAGATGAATTACAATTTTAAGGATAAGGAAGGCCTTGATGTGGAGGAGCCAGCTACCTTCAACATTTTACGTACAACCCTTTCGTAATTCTGTGAACTGATTGTAGGTGTAATCAATCGTCCTCTAGCCATTTGAAAAAGTTTGGTCATTTTACAATGTGAAATCTCCCCACAATCCCGCTAAAGCCTCCTTTATTCAATTTTCATGCTCAGTATAGTGGTTCGCTTTTGTCAATATGCCTTGAGAAAAAGCATGCACTAACGTTATTGGTGTACTTTACAACGTGAAATAACCCCTCAATCCCCCAGAAGCCTTCTTTCTTGCACGTGTAACTCGCAGTTATTCTGTAATGTGTTCAATTATCATGTCTGTATAGTGGTTTGCTTTTGTCAATTTACCTGTGAGAAAAAAGCATGCACCAACATTATTGGTGTACTTGGATGTAAATGATAAAAGCATGCACCAAAAAACAAAATTAAAAATTGAAATAAAATCAATAAAGTGTTGTTTGGTTATAGTCATAATTTTTTAAGATTCTTTATTTTCGTTTTGTCTTGCTTTTTGTTTTAATAAGAGCAAAATATAAAGTCTCCCTAAAAATGAATTAATTAGTTCTCTGTGAACATAATTTTACTAATATTTTGCACTCTTTGCTTTTCGTATTTTTGTTTCATTTTTCAAATTTTGATAGTTTGTGTAGAAAGATAAAAATGATGAAAATCATTTTTATATTTAGATTTAAATTTTCTAAAATAACTAAAATACAAAAAAATTAAACATATCAAATATTAATTTTTTTTATTCTATGAAAAAGTTGAAACCAAAAAATAAGGATTGAGTGGGTTTGCGGTGATGGCAGAGGGGACAATACCCCTAGCTATACTATTGTTTTCGATTTCATTGTGACATATCACTGGCTAGCTAGTTAACTTCTATCCGAAAAGATATGATGGCTAAAACCTTTTTTTTAATCTTCCAAGTTAAATTAAAGTCTCACCTTTGTCCTCTGCGTTAAAAAAATTCACATTTCCATTCTTAATGTTTAATTTAAGTTTCACATTAGTCCCTAATGCCACTTTTTAAGCACTTCTAATTGAAAAAAAAAAAACTAACATGCACCTCGCATATGTATTATTGCAAGGGCATATTAGTCAATAAAAAAAGGGTAGTAACGTGAGTTTTTGCCAACCAGATTGCACATCTAACATATTTCTCTAGTGATTTTTCTGTGCAATTTACTATAGATTAGTGATGGAATATCAAAATTGGTACACTACAGCTGTTAATCTGTTAAATTTTAATTCAAATCTAATTTGAATTTGATTTGAATTTAAGAGTTGAATTCAATTAATATATTAGATAGATTAGATATGATTATAAATATTTATAATTTGAAATAAGTAAATCAGATATTTAATCAATGTTTGTCTCCCAAAAATGCATGTTATTATTGCACCAAAGTGATCAAAGCATATGCCTTCGCACCGCCACCCCCTGCATGCAACACCTAGGATCCCTTCTTTTCCATATATATCTTCTGTTGACTAGCACTCCTTTTACCAAAGACTCCATTTTATTTTAGTATTTATTTAATTTTTGTTCTGAAAATTTCTTTTTTTTTATAAATAATATCTGCTGAGATTCTCCTAACTCTAACATTGTTATATGACATGCATCCTTACGTACATAATCCAAATAAACAAGTAAATAAATCGGGACTTACCACTTCTGCTTCCTTTCTGTTTTTTGAATGGTTGGAATTACTAATTACACCTTATTGTCCATTTTTTTTATATCCAAGTGTACGTATCGAAACAAATAATACATAGATAAAATAATTATCTTTTTTATAAAAAAATAATTTTATAAATCTCGCTAGATATTAAAATTATAACAATTTAACCCTATTAAAATAAATAATAATTTTAAATTGTAATTAATAA